ACTTAAAAACAGAAAAACGTCCTCATTGCTCTGTATGTAGGCCACAAAGACAGAATTTGACACTTGCTTAAGGACAGTGGAAGAAAGTTTCTGCACCTGGTAAATACAAGACCCTGAAAGCGTTTTCCTTCTCTGCATTTATCAAATGAAAACTGTGTGAAATGAGCTTTGGAGCGCCTGCAAGCCTCTTAGTGATTAAAAGCACAGTCAATTGCAATGGAACACTAACCACAATTATGGTAATCAACTCTAAAATGCAACTGAATCTTTAATATTAGACTCAATTTTGTTCATGAGAAACTGGATTTAGGTACTGTTACTTGATTAATTTACCAAGAGCTATGAGGAAGCAAGGAAAGTCTGAACACAAGACAGGGCTCAAATCCTAGGAAACTGTAAATACTATCATATCAAGTAGAACATGTAGAGCAGTTGTGCTCTGCAACAAAGAAACCACAGCAGCAGGGGAAGGCATCCAGGAGCAGCAAGAGGAGGTTGTATCTTGGAGCAAGGAAAAGAAATCAACGCCATACAGGTGTCCAGAGGCCTTGGAGAAGGAGGCAGAGCTCAAATGCAGTGAGTACACGACACTGCAAATGATCCATTACTTTCACACTGTGCTACAGCAAAGGCTCTGAAAGCTTGTCGGTTTTTTTCTCCACATGATTCTTGGCACTTGGGAAGGGCAGCAGATCATTGTGCCTTGAGGAGATGCTGGGAGAAAGGGCATCCACATTCACATCACTACCAGAGCCAGACTTACGCTGTCTGTGCTATAGGCTGCTGCTGCTGGTGCAGCTGAGTAACTCGCTTCACTGGAATCTGTGCCAACTCAGGTGTGGCAGTTTTATTTGATTTCCAGCGTTTATATGTGAATTTTGTTTTAGAAGATGCAATCTGAAAATGGCTCAATCTACTGTTTCCTTTCCATTTTTAATAGAAACTAGATTCAGTTTTCATATATATCATTTTTCTTGCAGAGTATCTCTTCTCCCTCCTTGAACAAGGGGCATAGGTCAGAAAAAAACAGATGCCAGATTATGATACAAAGAGAGACATCCACAGACACTGCGTTTTCTTTGTCTGCTGGGGACCAAACCTGCCTCAAGCTCTATAGCATGCAGACATCTAGTGGCTGGATGATATAGTGCAATTAAACATCTTTATGGGACACCTGTAAAAATTCTGTCTGGTCACATCATCATCTGAACGCCAGATAGCACAGATTCTGTTGCAAACAGATTCTTTGGCTCTGCAAGTCCATTTGCCATTCGGTATGGCCCTAGTATGGACATTTTGAGATGCTCTGGCCTCATGCTTTTCTAGGATATTGTTTTGAATTGTGTGGAGCTTAGGTGGACAAAATGTACAATGCCAAGAAATCAGGAAGGTTCAAAATGCTGTGGCACATCTGCTAAATGGCAGCCTGTAATTTCACACTGAGACTCATGCACTTGATAATCATTACCGGCTTTGCTGCCAAGAGCACACAGCTCTCAGGGTTTTTTGTGTTTGTTTTTGATTTGTCTCTTGAGTAAACATCTCCTTATCTCTGTGAATTACTGCATGTTTCTAAGCTATGAATAAATCTTTCCGCTACCTTTCGTTTGCATTTTTTCTTTTTGCTCAGCCACACATAACATTATACAAGTAAAGAGATCAAACATTTTTCTAATTGTGACTCTAGATAATGAAATTCACTTCCAGCTGACCTACAGAGCAGAAATCTGGTATCTTCACAACATAAGGTTAAACATATATTTTCCAGAATTACTTTATACCTGCTATTTACAGTACTGCTGACACAGTGTATCATATGCAGTTATGTGTTTCTCTGCCTTATCAGAGCTTTCATCTGTTTCACGCTCACCACTGTCAGATGTTTACATGAGAGGCACTTCAGAAAACACTGTTTATAGTGTATATTTATATTAAAGCCTAAGGGATGCAAGAAGTTTATGTCTGTGTAAGATCAAGATGTTTTAATCTCCATCTCAGACATAACCATCATCTTAAACAATGCTTATATGCTTGAATCGCCAGCTTTCACCAGTGCTCTACTTTTCAAAATAGTGGAGTCTGTGTTTATTGTTTTCCTGGGGAAACAAAACGTAAAACACAGGGAATGTGGTGAAGAGGTGACATCTGGGATAAGGGTTGCTCTGTGCCACCATTTTCCTGGTGCTGGTAGGAGAGGGACATGAGAACAGCAGACTCTGGGAACAACGCATGCTGCATGTGACTTCTAATCACTGATTTGGCAGTTGGTTGTCACCTAAAATGGGCCACTTTCACCCCAAATGGGCAAATTCCACCTGGAATGAGCCAGATTCAATGAGTTTTAGTTGAGTTTGGAATAGAGAAGGAATATTTCCAACCACATCTCTGCTAGATAAAAGTACATTAAAGGAAATTTCTTTATGCTGTCTTTGCTCTCTGCTACCTTTACACTTTATCTTTGTTTTTCATGGCTTAAGTAAGTCATTGTATAGTTTATAGAGCAAATTCTTTCAAAGTTTACCTAATATTTCCTTTTCTCAGATCCCATCTCCTGTTGTTTGCCTGATACCTGGGGAGGTGCAGGGTCTCTTTGAATCAAGATGAGGTCAGGCTCTGGGGAAGACAAGCAGAAATGAAAAGCTGAGACTGCCTCTGTACACAGCACGGTAAGAACATCAGCAAGATGGATTTGAAGATACTGGACAGAAGAGCCACAGAAGTGACCCAGCACTGAAAAACAAATCTTGCAGTTGAAATCATTACTTCATCAGGGAAAAGGCCTAAGAGGTAACCTGACTAGTGAGTTCAATGCTGGGTAGTTAACTTTGCAGATAAAGTCATAACAAGTTCTCATGGACAAGGACCACATGTGTTACAGGGCCATATGAAGCGTCTCTCTCTATAAAGTAGCTGACTACTCTACTTCTTATGCCTGGCATTGTATGGGTAACAGCTCTGTGATCAGAGAAATGTCCCTCAGGTGGGTGATACAGGATAGAAGGCATTTGAAAAATGAGTGAAAAAGTCATTAATACACCTGAAGCATTCAAATAAAGAGATTAAGTCCCATCAAAAATTAATGATTATGTCATTAGAACAAGTCTTGAACATCACCTAGTGTGAAGGTCCTGTGACTAAGTAACAAATAATGGGGAAAAGAGAAGTAAGCAGTACTTGGACATAAGGAAAAGGGAAAAATATCCACTCATACAAACACCAACTGAATATGTACAGTGGTGGTGAACTGATGTTAGGCACATAGTCTTCCTAGTGGTATTTCTTAGCTTTAATTAGAAACTCTAACATTTATTTTAGAACAGTTTTTCTATATGTAGTGTTTCAAAGATATGAATACACACAGAGATGTGTGCTAACATACATAGCTACACAGATAGTTACAGTTTCATAAATAAATGTGCATCTAAACACTTCCAACACATTCTACAAGGCCCAATCTCAAGAGATGTGGTGAATGGTTCTCCAGCTGCCTGGCATTTCAGCAGGCAGTGCAGCTGTATGAAGGATGAACAAATCACAGAGACCTGATCTGATTAAGTAGGATCCCATGGCCGCACCCCACAGTTCAAAGTGCTCTGAACACAAGTGAAGAGCTTTAGATCTCCAGGTGTTCCTTCAGAACTTCAAAAAACTACAGAGGAATCCAAAGAGCCCATCACCTGCAGTGCGAAGGTCAACCATAGGGAACGTACTGCCCCACCTCACCAGTCTTCTCCCAAAAGCTGGGTTTCTTCTTCTCTGTATTATCCTAAAATTTACCTGAAGGTTGCAGAGCCAGCTTTTGCCTAAGAGGCACTTAGCTTCTTTTAAGTATTATATCATTACTTTCTGGATCAAGTGTGTAACTCCTACCTGTGAATTTCTTCTAGCCTCCACGCTCCTGGAAACCTCTAATTCACATATCTAATAAGTCTTTAAAATTATATGGTGTATCACTGACACCAATAATTACCTTTAAAAAAACTTCCAGTGCAGATAGCAAGCTAATTAGGAGAATTTTAGTGGCTGTAGACTTGAAAAGGACATTATTAATTGAGGGCCTTACATTACTCTTAGAACACCTTTATCAATTTTTATGATTTCTTAAAAATGTTAATACAAGGCAGGCATATGGAACTCTAATTGAAGAGTAACAGAGCCTTGCCACACTTCATAAAGCCTCTCATGGGTGCAGTGTAACTGAAGGAATACACAGAGAGCCCTTTCTGCAAATTCCTCCCTGTGGATTCCTACTGAAACAAGAAAGACTAATTTAATTTTTCCCAACACACCACAAATGTGGGTTGACCGCTCTGTAATTAGGAATGCCTTTTGCGAATGAATTTGTTATAATTAGATCTGATTCTAAAGACAAAATACAGTTGTAAGTATTTTTACCTGTGGGTTTTTTTTCGTTTCTTTTAAAGCCAAGCCTTCAAAAAAAAAAAAAAAAAAAAATTCACAAATGTTGAGACAAGTTTACAAGCCTCAGTTCCTCAGTAGTAGGATTTATATGACTTAAGCTTCAAAATCCACAGCAGTGCAGGAAAGAACAGCAAACACAGGAAGGGAGCACAGGAAAAGGAAGTAATGGACTTCAATTTTTCGGTGGAGACATTACATCATTTGTTTTGCAATGTATCTGTATTTCACAGCCAGAATAATATCAGCCAGCTCCAAGATAAGGAACACATTTATTCAGAGAATAAACTATTTCAGATTTCATAACGTCAATATTTGCCATATTAATATTACAGTTCTTTTCAGTTAATACCCAATAGTTAATATAATACATCACGTGCAAAGGGAAAAGATCTTCTGAATGAGTTAGATGTCAAGAACCATCAGGTTCATAGCCTAGTTAACTCCAGTTTTGGAGGTTTTTCTTACTTGGTGCAAGGAGATACAAGGAGATAGGAAGATGCCCTCAACTGCCAGATATTTTTCCTTCTTTTTTTTTTTTTTTTTTTTTTTTTTTTTTTTTTTTTTTTTTTTTTTTTTTTTTTTTTAGAGATTTCAGAACTGCACCTGACAACTACAAATCATCAGGTAACTGCCAATATCTGCATCTTGGCCGAGCCTTTGCAGACCAGATACTACGTACAACAATCTTTATGCAGAGATGCCACCCTGCCCTATGGCAAAATATGGAGGAGGCCAGGCTCTGGGGTTGGGTTATTATTGCAATTGTCTGAGGAGTTGTAGAATCATTGAATATTCCAAGTTGGAAGAGGCACATAAGGACCACTGAGTCCCTACAGATGGAAGAGGGGCAGCATCCACTGAGGCTGTTACTTTGATGTAAATGCTGGGCTATTGCAGATAGAAAGCATATTTTCGGTCAGCACTGCTATCTTGAGCTTTTTGACTAGTAAGGCATGTAAATTTTTCTTAAATTTGGGCAGAAGATAGAGGAAAATTCTTATACGTAACTCTAAGAAATATGAGTTTTCATAGGCTCAAGGAGCAATTTATTAATGACATCTCCACTAATCCTCATAAACAGATGACTTCATGATGGAATTACATGCTTTTATTGCAATACCAAGATCATCTGTGTGTCTCTCCACACATTCCTGCAGTACACATAGTTACGACCACATGAACTGGTAAGCAGCATCCACTCCCTCTCCCCATGTTCATACGCAGTGTGTGGGTTCCTCCTACTGTTTCTCCTGTCCCTAATATACACATATATGACTCTGAGAATTTGCAACTCATTATTCAGCAGCAACCCTTCCGGAGATGGAATAAGCATGCCTTGTGACACTACATTTACCACTGCATGGTGATGACTTTGTGATTGATGATTCACCCATCTGCTCCCAGGGAGTAACCTCTGCTTTGTGAACCTCTGTTTGCATCTCCATTGTGCCCTGCCTGGAGCTTGCCATCTGTGCCTCTGCATTCTTGCACTCACACAGGTCCCACCACAAACGTGCTAGCAAAATGGATCGCACTGAAAGCCATGGAGACCAAAGCTATTTCCCACCACATGAAAATGTTTTTCAGTGCTACGTGTTTAGAAGGAACTGTAAGCTAAGAGCTTGTCTTGCAGGCTTGGTCTACTTCTCTCTCTTTTGCCCTGTCAGAGCTGTGTCATGTGTGGCCCAGAATGGCAGTCCCCATGCTGTGCAGCAGCTCAGGACGTGCAGAGAAGGGCCTCAGACCACCATCCTCAGTCATGTGCAGAAACAAATAGAACTGTCATAATTCACAGGAGAACAAAGGCTGATAATTTTCTGCCTGAAATGATAATTTCTTTGTAAAATTCCATGACTAGGTTTGCTGTTATATCAATTAATTTTCCTTATTCCAAAGTTGTTCTTTATTCAAATAAGGTTCCTAATAATGCAAATGTCATTCAGCTTTATTCCGATAGGCCATGTTAAGTGCTTGGCAAAGAAGTGTTCATTTCTGCCCAAAAATGAATTCTGAATTTGTATAATACTTTGTGAACAACCAATGGTTTTATTAGCTTTACAGTACACACCTCCCCTCTACACAAGATGGTTACTGACAGCAAAAGAGATGCTACAAAATAAAATTAAGTGTAACATTCAAAACAATGAGTATCTCTATATATATTAACATTTAAAACAAGCTTAAAATTAGCATTATTTGGATCACAGACCACTATTGAATGCTACTGCAAAGAAATTACATAAGCAATGATAGTTACCATTTAAAAATAGCTAACAGTGTAAATTGGAAGATTTAATGCTTTCTTCTTTTAATGTACAGCCCCATTTCCAGAATTTCACTGAACTGTGTGGACAGAACAACTGTCACAGCTGTCTATCAAAGTTGAATTAGATGAAGACAAACAATACAGGCTTTGTGGTTCAACTGAAGCAGCAGCCTCAAAAGTTTCCATTTCTCATCCAAGGGCACTGTGGGAGCATTGTCTTCCCCCTCTCTGAAAAGAGAATGGAACAATTATGTTACTGAAATTCCTCCACAGTGGGTCTGAGAGAATGTTTAGGTCCAGCCAAGGAGACAGGAGAAACTAAAAGCAAGGGTTCCACAGACAGCAGGTGGGGGCAGTTTCAGGATATATACCTCATGGACATAATGGTCCTGATTCTTCTCCTTTAGGGTAAAGGCAGCACTGGAAGATTTAATAGCAATGGAGGACATTGCAATAAAAAATGCCAAGTGCAGGAGCAGACATGAAACAAAGCTTTATTGGCTTTCTGAATCAATCAGGTAATTGATTTTAATGTGGAGAGCATAGTTTTAAATAGAAAAGAAAATATACTATTACACAGAATTTTTTTTTAACATTTACTATCTTAGGGGCCCTACCAAGAAAAGTGCTGAGTACACAGCCCTCATGAGTGTCAGATGGGCTCAGATTGAAAGCAATGGCCCATTTTGTTCCTCCTAATAGCAGTAATATTCATATTCATCATCAGGAGAGAGAGATTAATATTTGGCTTCATGCAAACACATACTCATGTGCTACAGCACAACCTTAGGAAATCAGCTGCTGGGTTGCCTCACTTCAGAAGTGGTAGGTATGAGAATGACAAATCATTTCATCCTGTTGTACTAGCAATCTCATCTTTCCTGAAGTTATTTTAGCACTCAGAATGTATACACAAGGAATCCATAAGTGCTTGGGTGCAATAGATTACCTGGAGCTACAACTATTTGCAGGAATAGTCAGCACATTTCTAAAGAGTTTCTACTCTTTTCCTTCAGGAGAACGGGAGTGTAAAGGCTGTCAGTCACCTACAACAATGTCAAGGAGTAGGTGTCTGCATGTAGGACAAACTGCAATCATTTCTGTGTTATCCCTACATAGACAACACCCGCCCCAAAGCCATGAGATTTGGCAGCAGAATCATTTGATGATCAACATGAAGAACTTTTAACCACTTGCAGTGGCTACATTCTAAGGGAAACTGTAGGTCCTTCACAAAGCAGCTGATTTTAGCCATAGTTATACTTTATGCAATAGCACAGAGGATTGTCAGATTTACCTGGGGCTTAGCATAAAGATGCAAAAAAAAAAAAAAAAAAGCCAGCAAGTTATTCTCAGACTCTATCATGTTTTTCAGTGAGCTACTGATAAAATGGTACAGGGACCAATCCCCTGCCTGAAAAGGAAGGTTTTTCTTTTGGACAGAAGATACTCGATCAGATGAACAATCTGAGTAAGTTCAGAAGCTCGATGAGCTCGGAAGAAACCAAAACTCTGCATTCTTAAGGTTCTACATAGGCAAACTAATTCTTTGACAAAATGACACTTTCTTAATCTCCATTAGTGCTAAACTAATTAACAAAGCAGTTTTATACACTGCAGTAAGTAGTATCTCTTTTCTTTCTTGGAGAATCCCTAGTGTGATATAAGGGTGATTGAGTATCTAATTACTCCGTAATTGAATGCACACTTTGTACATTTTTCACTAGTTCAAGCTTAATGCTTTTGGTCCAAAAATCAAAGTCAGTGAAATTAAGTTGAACTGCAATTTCGGCAGCCACTGTATTACTGGATTACTTTTGGAAAGCAGCCTAATTACAAGCCAATCTGAAGATTTCAGTTGTGTTTGTTACAAAAATACCTAATGTATAATCTAACAAAAGGCTAATTGGGAGTGGTGTTATTCATGTTTACCCTTTATTCACATTTAAGACTGATTTTTCTATCATGCTAAATTAATAGCACTGTTCCACAACACATATAACCAAGTAACACACTATTACCTACAATGCAGACATCAAGGTACTTGCTTCTCTTACTCTTCTGAAGAGTTTATAGAAACGTGTGAGGGTTGCTCTGAAAGTAACACCTCCTATTTTAGGATGTTAGCCCACAACATCAGAGGCAGTGTTGGTGTTATGATGGTAGAGGTTTAATCTCCCTGCCAATATTCCATTACATTTTGTTACTCTGTGTCAGACAGCAGAAGAGCAGTCTGACAAAATGACGTCTGATATGGAAGAGCTTAGAAAGCAAAGAAGAGTCACTGAAATCCTCCATGTAGAAAAAAATGGTACCCATTGACATTCATCAACAGACACTTGCAGAACATTTATGGAGACCAAACAGCAGATGTGAGCACAGTGATGTGGTGGGTGGTGCACTTCAGCAGTGACAGCAGCAATGAGAAAGACAAGCCGCATTCCAGATGGCCATATGCAGCTGTCCCACTACAAAATGAAGAGTGTCTCAATCAACTCATCCACACAGATCAGCAGATTATGACCAGGGAATTGTACAAATTCAAATATCAGCTTCACTGCATTAGAAACAAGGACAGCAATGTTGGAAAATTGCTAAGTTTGTGCCAGGTGCATCCCATGAATGCTCACCCAGGAACAGAAAGAACACTGTTCACAATTTCGTCAGGACCTAGTGAATACAAGCTTGAAGGTGACAGTTTCCAGGACTGCATCATTACCGTTGCTGCAGGATGGTGTTACCACTCCTAGCCAGAGTCAAAACAGCAGTCCATGGAGTGGCAAAGTGTGAATTCCTCATTGAAGAAAAAGTTCAAGATACAACCCTCAGCAGGTAAAGCGATATGCATGCTTTTTGGAATAGGAAAGGGGTGATGCTTCTGGATTTCTTGAATCCCGGACAAGCCATCAACTCTGACCACTACAACATGATGATAACTAAGCTGAAGGCTCAAACTTCCAGAGCTGGGCCAAAGAAGAAGACAACTTTTCTCTTGCAACATGATAATGCCAAGCCCCATACCGTTCTGAAGACTGTGGAAAACATCATCAACTCTGGCTTGAGTGTCCATTCACTGCATAGTCCTGTTTGGCACCTTCTGACTTTCATCTGTTCAGGCCAAAGAAAGATGCACTGCATGGGCAATATTTTCCTAGCAATTATGTCATCATAGCAGCTGTTAAACACTGCATCGCCTCCTCTTATTCAGATTTTTACAAGAGCAGCATGAAGGCTCTCATTCATCATTGGTGAAAATGCATAGATAATGGTGGTGGCTATGCTGAAAAATAGTTTTTATAACTAGCAATGTGCTCTATCAAATAGTGTTACTGTGCTTTTTGTATGTGTTGTAGTTTCCATGGAAATAAAAAGGAGGTATTATGTTTGGAGAAACCTATGTAGTACTTAGTCCAAAATTGCACAAATGTGCTTGTATATTATAATCTGAAAACTGCCTAGAGTATTTATTTGTTTATAGAGTGTATTTCTGCCTCTTAAATCTCCTTTGCTTGGGTTGAGTACTACATATAAACAGAGCTCCAATGCTTCTGATGGAATCCTCTAATGCATAAACTGTTGGAAAATCTGAGGTCTATCATCAGAATACTCATGATTTAAAGCAAAGAAACATTAACAAGGTAAAAAAAAATCCACAGATCATCCTGAAAATGTAAATATAAATATATGCATGGTTCTAAGAATACTTACTTCTAATTTTTGCGTTTGTCAATTTTACATACTTAGATTCCTCACAGAGAATGTATTCTCTTGAAGAAAACTGGAATAAATGCAAGTAACTATCTCAAAAACAGGGAGCAGAGGACGAGCAAAGATCAGGGCCAAACGTGGTATACTTCTAAGAACTGAAGGTCCCAAGGTTCCCATAGTAATACAACATATTTTAGGAAAGAGAAAAGATAGAAGAAAACTTCAGCAAAAAAGATTACTTTTCAGTCTTCTGGAAGTGTAGGAAAAGTGCATATAAATGAAATACGAAGAAATGAAATAGGATGGGCATGATAATATGCCTTTTCATCTGATAGGGAGGAAATAAGATACCAGCCTTAGGCCAAAATCATTATATGAGATCAAAAACTTTCTTCTGCTACTTAAAAGAAGTTGATGTACTTTCTGGAGAGCTTTTCATCTTCCTTTGTCTCACCATTTTCCTTACCACTACTGTCTTACACAATGCCTCCATGGTGTGTGCTTTTTTCTTAGAGGCATCTTGTCTTCTCCTTCTTAAAAACAGCTAAACTAAAAAGTTCATTAAGAGTTAAAAAAACTTCAATGGACATGAGTAGCAAAATCACTTTGAACACTGACTACATATTACCACTATTCTACACCTTCCTAAAATCAGCACCTGAAAGTGTAATCAGGCATGGATTCAGAGCATTTCAGAAAAGAAATCACAGTAGCTTATAAACTTTTATGTCTCTTCCAACAGTCTGTAATTCTTTCCATGAAGTTCAAAATTTACTGAGTGTACTTCTAGCTTTGTGGGTGTTTAACAATATCAAGCTAACAAAAGTACCTTTGCTTCTCTTGAGCTCAGGGGATGGATAAAAAGGTTTTAAAAATTACAGAAAGTTCTGCTTTGTAGCTCTGCTCTGCCACAAAATCTGGAGTTAGTGATAAAATACAGCTAATAACAATCATTTCTGGTACACATTTCTCACACTCTGAGTGAGAATTATCAGTTACAAAAATATTTTCAGTAACTCAAGCAACTTGTTCAGGTTTCGTATTTATTCCAAAATACTGTTGTCTGTTAAGCATGAATTTGTATGCATGTATTCAACACGCTGTTTTCATCCACACAGGATTAGAATTAAAAATTCCAGTAAGAATAAAGATCTGTAAATACCTGCATTCTCAGTTTCAATAGAATAAAAATATTCTCATTAAAACTTCCTTTGTGATTTCATTATGGCAAAACAAAGTGTACTCCCACTTCGCAACGTTGTACAACACTGTAGAAGAAAGCATATACGTTGTAGGAATTCTTCTTTATTTCTGTAGTCATACACATGTACTTGTAGGTCCTAATATCCTTAACATTTGAGAGCTGTTACATAATAACCTAGAATCTCCACACTTTAAAAATCAGGTGCAGTTTAAATAGAAATGATTCATGCTTTTCACCACTTTGCCTCAATACAATCTCCAGCATTTTCTCTGTAAGTGAATACAACATTGCAGAGTTCTCTGTGTGTGTACTTACA